AGGTGGTGATGAGGTCTCCCCTCAGCCTTCTCTTCTCCAGGCTGAACAAGCCCAGTTCCTCAGCCGCTCCTCATCAGGCTTGTTCTCCAGAGCCCTCCCCATCCTTGTGGCTCTTCTCTGAACACGCTCCAGAATCTCCACATCCTTCTGATAGTGAGGGGCCCACAACTGAACTCCAGCTCTCTTGGTGTGTATGGCTGTGTGAGGTGGGCAGCTCGCGGTGCTGTTAGCTGTACCTTGAATTAGTCTTGTCTGTAGTGCAGAGACTGTCACAGCTCACCAAGCTTGGTTATGTAGATAGGCATCTTGATTGATGATTGTTTCCCCGATAATTAAGTTAAACCTCATCAGGCCCTGACTCCCAGGCGTATCCAGTTCGTTTCTGATGCGGGCCTGGCTGTTTCTTGCAGGTTTGTGCTGCTACCTCTGCTTTTTCTCCTCCCCTGGTTCCTGTCGGAGCTATTGCACCTCCTTTGTAGCATTGATTTGTTGGATCCTTCTGCTCCCTTTCTGAGGCCAGCCATATAAAATGTCATTTTTTGCTTTCTCTCCGTGTGCTCTCTCACTCTCGAAGTATAAAAAGTTAAAGGCTAATTGGCTGAAAAATTATTTCTTGGTTTATGTCGTGCATAGACCTGGTTGCTGTTTATTGTCATCAGTTTGATAGCGCTCTTGGGATTTTGAAGTGCAAATTTGCTTACTGATACAGGGAGGAAGAAATTTTGAAGTACTTACCTGGGGAGATCAGATGTTGTAGAGACAATAGGGGGTTTCCTGGTTTTCATTTTCTTAATTAGAAGCCTGGCTTTTCTTTTTAAACTTTAGCTTAGCAGGTAGCAGCTGGAAGTCATGGGAGGAAGGGATGGATGTGTCAGTAACCAAACTTTTAAAAATAGGATTGTGTGCTACATAAACTTCTTATCCTTCTGGAAATAACTTTTTTTCAGACTTAAATACAGCACTTTGCATTTTTTAATCACTCCTTAGCTGTTAGCTAATTAAATGCTTCAGTAATATTCCTCTGGGGAAGGTAAGGTGGTGTCGTTCCCGTTCTGCGGATGAGTTGAGCTTGGCCAAGGGCAGCCCACGAGCAGCTGCGGATCTGAGAGCAGGGCTGGGGCTGGTGACTGCGCTGCCACACTTCATTTACTAGAACATGTCATCTCCCTGTGTCCTTTCTTAATGACTCGCTCAATAGTTTGTACAAAAGACTTTTTAAAATAATTGGGTTGCAATTCCCTCTCTGGTTTGCTTGAGGGAGGAGAAGTGTAACCACACTGACCTGATTTGATACAACTCGCGGTGCCAATAGCACTGGACGAGGCTCTTCCAACCAAATTACTGGTGCTGGAAAGAGAAATGTTGAAAGGGTTTGTTTAAATATGGCACAACAGCTCTTCCCCTTGCAATGATGTGCTTTGTAATGCTCTGAGCCTCTGGTGCTCTGGATCCAGGTTTGGATCTCCTGTGCCAAGATCTGTTGACCACTGATTTATTTAAATGACCTTGTTAGGTCCTAAAAAGTTATTTTTGAAACTGTGTCTGTAACTTAAGTCTGCAGGTGACTCTCCAGGACGTGTGGGGTGGCTGGAGGGTGTGTTCAAACGGAGGAAAACCACTCTTTGCCTGAATAAAAGACTTCTTACACCAAGTTTTACAGCTGTTGGGCACGTGGAAGCTGTAGTTCAGTCGTCCTGGTTGTGATCCGTCATAGCTATAGCAGACTGTAATGCATTTTAACAAAGCCTTTGCGTTCAGATTTGGGCGTGCGTATGAGAAAGTTGTGACAAATGTGCAAGAATTGACAAGTGTAAGGACTCGAATGTGATGTGTTTAGATGGGACTCTTCCATCTGGGGTGAGACTTAATCCTGTAGTCATCGCGCTGATAAAATATTCTAGGATTCATTTTCGGAATTTGGATTTCAGTCACTCAGAGCGAGCACTGCGTTGGGGTCGGGGGAGGTTATTGAAAACATCTTTGTTCTTGCCTCTGGCAACCTAATTAATGTATTGTTTTGGCACTGAAAGCTGTTCTTTAAGGAAATAATTGCTGTTCTTCGGGTGATTTTTTTTTGACTGCGTGTCAGTGAAAAAGGTAATTTCGTAGCACTTAATTTGATTATTGTAAGTGAGGATCTCATTAAAATGTGAAGCGCACCAGAAGTTTGGGGTGTGAACTTCCACGCACGCGTGTTTTTCAGTAATTGTAATCGCTCGAGTGTGCCACGCCGACCTTTCCGCTTGAGTTTGCAGGTTTGTGACTTCTGGCTGCTGGTTTGGATTTTATTCAACCGATTTAAAAGTTCTTCCTTCAAAGAGAAGTGTCAGTAGAGCTGCTTTGGCTTCACACTTATTTAAATGCAGCGAAAAGCCGTGTTGCTTATTTAGTGTTTCAGCCCTAAACGAGCTGAGCTAGATTAGGTTAGCTCAATTTTCCTCCCCCTAATCTTCATGGTAGAATTTCATTTTCCATCTATTATTGTTGTTGCTAAAACATCTTTATTTTGAATCCCGTGTGTTAGGACTGGAGGCTGCCGCTGTCTTAATGCCCTAGGCTGTAAACACAGATAAGACTGAGAATAACTAAAAGTTATTACTGCTAAATGACCATTTGGTTGCATGTGAAGTGACTGATTTCTGAAGGGCATCTCCCTGCTACTGTTGGGAGTTTGAAGGTACAACGTTAATGAAATTTATCTGCCAGCAAAAGCTCAAATACGTGGCAGTTACGCTCATATTTCTGCTGGTACTGCTTATTTTGTTCAGGAAATAAAGCCATACCAACCATATTTTTTACATATTTGGGCTTAAGCCACGCAGGTACGGCTGTACCAGCAGGCACTTTCAAGTGTGTGGTATTTTCTTACGGCTTTGCGCTGTTTTCTGCTCTTGTGGGGTACCTGGTTGGGAGGGAGGGGTGGCTGAGAGCACAGAAAGGTTTCCTTGTCCTCAGTACTGGTGCCAGGAACAGCCCTTACCCAAAGTCCCGTGTCTCTGCTGAAAGAATATTTGGGATTACAACCATTGGGACTCCAGTAAAGACCGATTTTTGGTTTGGTTGCTTTTTAAACGTAGTCTTGTTTAATTTGAGCTTCTCCAGGAGGGTCAATATTTGGTGTTTGTGGAAGTAGAAGCCACAATTCCTCTTAACGTGGTGTTTTTCTTCCCCTTAGGTGTTCTGTTGCAATATACGTCGCACATTTATGGCGATTCTGAGCGTGCGGGCAGACTTCTGCCAGGCCCAGCACAGCATCCGGGCCGACAAGTGAGCCGAGCGCGGGGGTCCTACGTGCCATAATTACTTTGCCTTGAAGACTCCAGACACAGCGGACACACTCAAATATATGGGATATCTTCTGCACATTGGAAGCATATTCCTTTTACTGACTCTAGCAAAACTAAGCGTCAAGAAAACAAAGTGGAGAGAAAATCTGCCCTTACTTTTTTGCCTCACCAGTGCCTAAATGTAGAACAGGCTGCCTAGTCTTGCATGTAGTCAGAGTTTTTGGAGTCTGAAGGATACCACCTGCAGTAATTGAGGCCGAAGTTGAATTCGAGTGGATTCTGAAGCAAACCTGCTTTTCTAGAAGCGAATTCTTTAAGGAACAAACACGTCAAAGCAAGCTCTGATCAATCCCAGGCATTTTAGTGGTCTTTTTAATGTTTTCTGCTGTGAAACGTTTCCAAGGTTATTGATTTCTTTTTTATTTTATTTTTTTTTTTTGACCCCCTACACATTTTGGTTGCAATTATGAACCGTCCAGCCCCCGTGGAAATTACTTTTGAGAGTATGCGTTTCCTGATCACTCACAACCCAACCAACGCGACCCTCAGCAAGTTCATAGAGGTAAGGCAGTCAGATCGAGTGGTGTCCTTCATTCCTCGTGTGCTCGTGGTTTCTGTGGCAGTCCTGAGCAGTCACTTCACACCTGTTACTCAATTCTTTGGTTACACATTTGAAAATTAAGATGTTTTTTATATGTTGTTCACATTTTCTTGACGGTATGAGAAGAATCCACTTTTTTCCCCCCCCCGAAGTCCTGCATTTCTATAATTGCAAGAGGCTGGGTGAGCCTCTGTTTTAGAGCACAAACACACACCCCTGCCACCCTTTGCGTTCTGGTTTCTGAAGGACTGCATGCTCTGCGATTTTAAACGTTATTTTTCAGTAAATAATGCAGTGCTTGTAATATATCATCACAGAAGTAGTAGTGCAGTGTATTTCACAGAATCACTCGGTTGGAAAAGCCCTCTGAGATCATCACGTCCAGCCGTTCCTGTCTACCCCCTAAACCATATCCCTAAGTACCTCGTCTACCCGCTCTTTAAACACATCCAGGGATGGTGACTCCACCACCTCCCTGGGCAGCCTGTTCCAGCTTCTGACGACCCTCTCAGTAAAGAACTTCCTCCTTATCTCTGACCTGAACCTCCCTTGGCACAGCTTGGTGCCATTTCCCCTTGTTCTATCCCCATCACCTGGGAGAAGAGCCCAGCACCCACCTCTCTCCAAGCTCCCTTGAGGCAGTTGTAGGTGGTGATGAGGTCTCCCCTCAGCCTTCTCTTCTCCAGGCTAAACAAGCCCAGTTCCCTCAGCTGCTCCTCATCAGGCTTGTATATTTCTATACTTCTGTGCCCTTGTATCTTTTATCTAGAGGACTTTTATCGTGAGTATGCAGGTCTCTCTCATTCCAAAGAGATCCTGTCCTCTGATACTGGTGCCTGACGGACTGTTAACAGATTTCCATCATTTAGCAGTGTGCTCTTCACCATGAATCTGCTCAGGTATTAGTGGTTAATTTTGTCTGCAAGCCACATTCTTCTGGTCTTTATATATAATTTTTTTTCCTATTTTTGCGGATTGTCTTCCTCTTTCAAGAGTCTTGACTCTGGGATAGATATTATTGCTAATTGTTAGGAGTTATTCAGTGTGATCAGGAGTGATTCAGTCCAAACACGAGAGGAAATTCTGCTGGCTGTGTGAACCTTCAAAGTGAACTGGAACAGGTTTTGTTTGATCTCCTGATTATTTATCTAGCACAATGTGCTACTTATAGTGCATTACAAGGAAGCTGGAGTATGGTGGTGTGTGCGTTCTGTTCCTCCCTGCCTCAAAATGTCAACGCTGGCTGAAGCAAACAGTTCCAGGCTTCTATTTAAAGAGAAGAAGAAGCTGCATGGAGAAGAGAAGCAGCTATTTTAATTTTGCTCTTATAAGTGCAATTTTTTTCCACCTTGCCATTTCCCTAGAGAAGAATTCAGAGGTGTTTTCACTTTTGTTCCTGTCACTTGTAACCCTTGTCCTAACCTAAGCCATAAACCCTGCTTTGACTTGGCCCTTGCTCCTTCGTTGGGCAGTCACCTTGTCACAGTGCCACCAACTCCGTGTAAAATGTTTTGTAACTGATGAGAAAGTTCACGAATTCTTCACTCTGTGCTCATGTGTTTTCCTTTTTCCTTAAAGGAGCTGAAGAAGTATGGAGTGAAAACCTTGGTGCGAGTTTGCGATGCCACTTACGATCAAGCTCCTATCGAGAAAGAAGGAATCCGGGTTCTAGTGAGTTGCCTTTAAAACTGTCTAAAAGTGAAAAATCACTTGTGTGGAAGGGGTGGGGATGGCCTTCATGCTTTGTGAAATAGCTGTTTCAGATTGCCAAAAAGCACTGTGAGCCCCTGCATCAGCTTGAGCTGGTTTTGAGTAACTCTCTGTAATTTTCTGGGAGCTACTTGCTGATCCATTACTATCACCTGAGTGTTTAGAAATGCCTGTTCCTGGATTTGCTGAGATATTTTGGTTGCCTTGTAGTGACTAGGTTGATACTAATGCAATGTTCAGCCTTGTGGTTCGTACAGCTTGGCTCGGTCCCCTTCTCTCAATACAGCACTTCTTGGCTTTACTGTTGACCTTCTCAGGAAGAAGATAAAACCACTCTTGTTCAAAACATGCCACCTTTTGAGGCTGTAGTTGCCACACTGATAGGCTGAATGTTTATTTAAGATGAAGGGTTCCGTGGACTGGCTGCAGCAGGACGTGGATAGGTGTCCTCATCACTGCTCACTTCGAAATGGAGCCTGGCTGCCCATGGCTTCCCTGTTGAGCAGGTGGAATTCCATAACTGCTGCTCATATTTAACGTTATGCAATATCTGAGCACATCATCTGGTATTGCTTGCTGTTCTAGGGGAGGTTTTTTTAATAGGTGTGTGCTCATACTAAGCTCGCAGGCGGTATTTTTCCAGGCAATACTTCGGAATTATTAGAGTGTGTCAGATATAATCAGTTTATTTTACTGGAGTGAGTAATGCTCTGTTGCGAGGCCAGAAATTGCATCTTGCCTTCATGTTGCTGGTAGTCAGTCCCCTGTTGCCTCTTGATTTTTATGGCTCAGTCAGAGGAAAACTTCTGCAGTTTTCCATTAGGAGAAAAAAAATTGTATCCTGGCATATCTGTGAAAACTCCATGTGCAGGTCAGTCAGGTTTCTTGGCTCCCAGCCTTAGTAAGCATTTTCTTCAGTTCCAGGCAGCCACGTGTGCCTCAGTGTTGTTGGAAAAATCAGTCATTACAGGGCTACCCGTGCTCCTAGGGCTCCGCTCTGGAATAGCGTTTTTGGCTACTCTGCTGCTGTGAAACCCCTGGCTGCGATACCCGTGAGGTTGCCAGAGACTGAAAGGATTAAGCTTCTGGTGCAGAAGCCCTCAAAGCCCTGATTTAAGCTGGTGCTTAGAGGATTTCTGTGTTCCTGTGCCAGAACAGAGATCCGAGTTCTTCCTACAAGACTTTGCAGGTGTCCGGCCCTGCAGGGGTGGTTGCCCTGTGAGGCCCTGGCTACTGCAGCTGTGAGCAAAACCCAGCTTCTCCACTCCACGACCGGTGCTTGTGGGGAGTGCTCTGTGCTCTGGAGCCTGCGGATCTGAAATAGTTTGGGGATTTTGGTTCTCAAGAAAGTTGAAAAACTTGGTGTTGGCTTGGTTTGAACCGAAAGCAGTTTTTTTGCGGAAGCTTTTCTGAAAACTGGAAATGGTGTTTCCGCCAGCTCTGCTGAGCTCCGTTGTGTTGGAGAGCCTTTCACTCTGGGTAACACGTGCAGGAGTCTTGTGTCTGAACACATTTCCCACAGCCAGCGAGCTTCTGCATTTGGTACCTACCCGTTCTTGCTGCTGCTGCAGAAGGCAAAACAGGAGAGGGCACGAATCCACCAGGCATCTAAGGGTAACAGAAAGCAGGAGGTGACAGGAATCAATCATGAGGCTGTCTTCAGTAATTTACTGTGTTCCAGTAGTGTTTTGATACCTGAGATAAATTTAACTGGTCACCGACGTGACCACCTCCTGTATAGCTTTTCCTTCCTATGAATGCATGTTTCTTCAGAGTCCCCTTGCTGTTCAGAAATGGTATTGAATTACCATCTGGCTGCGAAAATAACACGTCACTATTTAAAGCTAATATTTGCTTGCAGAAATAACGTTAAGATTAAAAACACAGCTTGAGAGAGATTAGTGTCTATTTTAAAACTGCTGAGGTCAAAAGCATAGTGAAACCCCTGCAAATGAGAGCGCTCCGGCAAAGCCTGCTCTCACACCGTGATACAGGATCGGGTGCTGGCAGGATGGGCAGAATGTGGCAGCTGAGCGTTGCTCTGGCAGATGGCATAGTGAGAAAGCGGAGAATTAGATGTTCCGTGTTTGAAGTAGTACTATTGCATGCGCGTGTTTATCAACAGAGATTAAATCCAGGAGACAGGAGGCGGGGATGGATTTAGTTTCTGTGGGCTCCCGCAGTTCTTAGTTATGTTCCCGTGTAAGGTCTTGTAACGTAGAAATGCGACAGTGGAAAAACTGGTAGGTTTTTTTTTTCCTGAAGTATGTTTTGTGCTGGCTGATGACCAAGGAGGCTGTGATGGTTTTGTTCATCTTCAGCATTTAAGATGTGTTTCGTTGTTCTCCTATCAGTCCTTCAGTTCCTGTTCACCTCTGGCTCATCCGTGCCCCCCAGCGCGGCCGCCACCTCAGTGCCAGCAGGAA